ATATCGGGAAGCAGAAAAAGGAGATAGGGACCAAGAAAAAAAATTGTGGAAATTAGAGAAGGAAGAATGTATCCATTCTCTCTTTAACCAAGTCTCATCTGCCCCCCACAGAACTTGCTGCATCTCTTCCAGAAGCTTATCTCTTTCCTCAGCCTGCAGTCACTTCTGTGGATATGGGGTTACTATGGTAAAACTCAAGTACTATGGCATTTTGGGAGGAGAGATGTAGCTCATCATTTTTTTTAATATCATACCAGCAAAGGTAATAGACAAAGATGATTATCTTTCGAAGGCAACATTTGTTAGGTATAAGAACTTCACCTCTTCCTTTAGCACTAGCTAATGGCAGACCTAACTCTTACCTGGGAATGGAAGATAAAGTTCTATCTAGCTCTTGTATCAGTCGTAACTAAGTAGAGAACACGTATGATTAGCCACTGGGAATGAGGGGCATCGTTTAAAGTCAGGGCTTTAAAGTCAACGGGCGTATCTTTTGCACTTGCGGGTTAGTGGGTACCCCACTTGTTTCTGCCTCACCCTGTGATAGCTGACTGGGATGTCAACATTTCTGAGAGGTATCTCGATGAACTGAGCATCCATAATACTTGAGAGCAGTTCTTTCCCTGGAACATTCTAGAATCACCAGTGCCTGGGCCATTCGAGAATCTCACTTACCATGGAACATTCTAGAATCAGCAGTGTCTGACCTCTGGCCCACACCAATGAAGTCAGACTCTGGCAGTGGTGCTTGGGTGTCAATATTTTTGTTAAAGGCCTCAGGTGATTCCAGTGGGTGACCAAGATTAAGGGCCATTCTCCTAGACTGGTAAGACTGGAGAACAGGGGCTGACATGAACAGAGTTTTCATGGGTTTCTTGACCTGCTGAGGCTCCTTTTGTCTCCCTCGACATTCTTTCTACCCTATTTAAATCTACCCACCCCACTGTGTCGGCATCAAATTTCTTTTCCTGAAAATAATCTATCGATTCTTAAAAGAAAATGCTAAAATAGGATATGCTCTACAGTCTAGGATTTTCCAGTGATTTAATTATCTAATTACTGGAGCCGGCTGCCAAGCACAAAAGATTTCATCCAGTTTCACTGTTTTATAAGACAGTTCAAAGAACATTTGAATTTTAATTCAATTTTCGTTCTTTTGAGACTATTCTACAGAGTTTTGTATATCTCTAATGATAGCTCCATTATTGGACTTATAATCACTTTGGGGCTGCACTTTGCTTTTGGGGTGTATAATACGTATGCTGGAGGAGAACTGGTGCTGAGATGTCTTAATTATTTAAAACTGTTTTTGTCTTAAATAGACTCCCCTGACTGGAAAGACAGAGGCTTGATGGGGAGGAAGGTGACAGAGACAAAGGAAATACAAAGACTGAGCAGAAGCAGCAGCAGCCAGGTTAGCAAACAAAGTCCTTACCTTTCCCCATGCGCCTGCTCTTTAGAAATGTACACACTTCTAAGCTCAGGAGCACATCTGCTCACTGTTCTGTTCCCCAAAGCCAGAAAAACCAAACAGTTTGGGGCAATAAAGGAACTCGTGTGGTTAAGAAAACATTTCCAGACCTTGACTGGAGAGCTTCTTTGAGAAGCTACAATTCTGCAACTGAGCCACCACAGTTCAAGGGTCAAAACATTTCCAGACCTTGACTGGAGAGCTTCTTTGTTTGAGAAGCTACGATTCTGCAACTGAGCCACCACAGTTCAAGGGTTGCAAGGAGTGGCAAGTTATGGGAGACCCCTCCTAGCCAGCCAGGGGGCCAAACAATGCCAGCCACCAACAGGGTGATGCCACAGCCACGCACACCACACCACACCACACGCACACCACAACCTTGGTATCGAATTTGCCAAATTCCACCCTTGTCCCTCTAAAAACAGATGCTCACTTTTGAAAGCAGTAGGTACTACCATACAAACAATGCATTATTGAATGTTCCTGGGAAGGTCCCCTGAGGAGCGACAATTTCCAAATGGCCAGGAGGTGGTACTACAAGGCAGGAGCGCTGTGAGAAGGGGCTTGCCCTCCATAAACCCTGGGCAAGAACCCAGGAGAAGACAGGCTCCCTCTGGCCTGCACATGTGTCATCTGGCTTGCAGAGCACTAAATAATTGGTTTTTAATTATTTTCCAACATTTTTAGAATGCATACAGATATTTCATATAAAACTTACATTTCCTGATTCCACTGAAATGTTGAAATGTCTAGGAACTCTGATTCTATCAGGTTAAGAGATGGGTGGAGCTGAGTGGTGACTGCCCTTGGGAGGGGCCACTTTGTCACTGTCTCTCCTCCACTTCACTTGTTAAGTTATCGCCTGGACCCTGTGTGCACTGGACTTTGTCACTTCAGCACACACCCTCAGCCCAATCCGCACACTTCATTTCATTGCAAAGCATCTTTAAATAAAACTGCAAAGCAAGGAGAGGCGAATGCGAAGGATGGGGAACTTCACAGAGGATATGATTCAGAAGAGGATTTAAATGAATTTGCCTGGATGCCCAAGGTATCTGGGTTGTTGTCTGAGAGACAGAGTTGCCGTGGAGACCTGAGCCCTGAGCCCTGAGCCCTGCAGTCTGGTCTATCAGCCCTCACAACCCATGACGGGGCCTCTGGGCAGGTCTCTTAAGCCAGCTGCCTTTCTGTTTATCTTCCAGTAGGTAGATGGCTTAATTAGCTTAATTAGGTGGTAGGAACTACAGGGCTCATGCATCTGTGAGCTGAAGGGAGAGAGAAGCTGCGGTTTGAAGCCCTTTTTTTTAATTGGGCTTCCTTGGCTTGGGCAGCTCCACCCCACTGGCTTCTGAGGATGCTCCTGGATCCTGGGCGGGTTTGCCTTTTACCAATGTTAGAACTTCTCCAAGTCAGGGAGGCCGCCTGGATTTAGTCTAAGCCAGCTCTACATCCTCAGTGATCAATCTCCCACCGAAGGCAGGAGGCATGAGGTTGATACATGAAGCAAAAACATGATCTCACGCAGAGAGGCACCATCCCAGCTCTTCGGTACGCAGAATCAGAAGATACATTATTCGGCTTCGTCAGATTTATGAGATTTGCTCACCAAGATTCCCGACAGGAAGCATCATTTTCCCTCCCCTTTGGAGCCCATAGAGTTCATATATTAACAGTGGGACAGGGTAAGGAAAATACTGTGGAACGCACCATTTTTTTTCCTTCAACGAACCATCCATAATGGCGTCTCTTCCTTATGAATTAATCTTCTAGTTTAAACTCATGTTTCTAAATACATCATAGATCCTTGCCAAAAAAAAAAGCTTATCTGCCTGTCACACCATCATGCACACTCACTGGAGAGAAGCAAGGAGCCCAGATACTAAGCAGGAAGTCTTAACTGGCTGTTAGAAGGCCCCACTCCACAGGGCTCCTCTGTTTTCAGCTGTCCTCCAAGAGCAGATGTCTAATGCTTTTTTCATGTGTAAAAGCATGCACGGCTTAAAGAAGTGGTGATACACTGACTTCAGTTTCAGTGGAAGGCTCTAGGCAAAGATTACGTGTTTCTATTGTTCTACTATTTAGGTCTTTGGTTCATGGAAACGATGGGAGAAAGAACCCTGTGGGGCAGGGGTGTGGGAGGAGGAGAACAAGACAGAGGAGACCGGACTTCGGGCAACAAGACAGATGACATCACCCACAAGGAACACGGTCTGTACCTGGAGCTGTCGCATCTGCTGCAGCTGGAGCCTGAGTTCGGCCACACTCCGCCTCATGTCGAGCAGGCTCATGTGGATGGCCGGGGTGCCGGCAGCCAGGGGCTGGCTGGGCGGCCCTGTGGGCTCCAGGGCGCTGAGAGTCTTTCCGCCAGAAACATGGGGACCTCCTATGGGAAAAGAGCAGCAAAGCACCTCAGAATGCCAGAAAGCAAAGTCTAAGCTCAGTCCCATCCCAACATGGATGACTGGTCACTCTAAAATGGACCATGTCTTTCATGGTGAATTAAAAAAAAAAATTATGTTGGTCATCTCAATGGCAAAAATAAGGTATCAAGTTTAAATAAATTATAGAAACTTCATACAGTGTTATAATGTACGGTCTGTAAAATCATGTTCTAGAATTTTAGCACCAAAGGAAGTGCAATATGTACAGCATGATGCCATGTTAAGGAACCTAGCTGTCTGTCTGTGTGTCTGTGTCTCTGTCTAGCTGCATATCTTCTTTAAATGTACACAGAGAAAAGGATCGGATGTATATATAACAAAGTATTAACAGTATCTCCAGCTGATGGTATTCCATGAGTTTTATACTTTTTAATACTTTTTTTTTTTGGTATTTTTAAATTTGCAGAGTGAATATCTGTAATTTTATAACAGAAAAATCGTTTTAAAATTCTAGGGCCTAACACAGCGTACCACTATGACTATTTCCCGCAGGCAGATGTACCATACCCAAGAACATGCACTTACTTCTGGGCAGAGATTCCGCTGATCCCCAAGGGGAAACTAATAAGAACTGAGGACTCTCCCGAATCCTTTTGGGTTTCCAGACCAGAAGAAGCAGGACCTCTGCCTGCATCTCCTTTAGTGAGAAAATCAGGTGTGATGTGAAACTTCTTCAGGAGAGGAATCAGAAAGGCAGCAGAAAGAAACTCTACCTAGTTTTCCGCTTGCCATAAACTTTGGCTCCTTGAGTCTAACTTAAATAGCCTCACGCACTTTATAAGTCCCTCTGGGAAGGGCCCGTTTGACCAAGTTTGCTTTAAAAACGCCTCCAAAAGGATCCCAAGTAGCACTTATAAGATGAGCATGGTATGAGAATCGAGTGGAAGTACTATTTCCTTTTTAGGACAATGTGATTCTATGGAACAGGTGCCCAGAGTAGAATCCTTATCACACACACATTTCTGAAGGGGTTGTTAAGCTTTCCTGTAAAGGACAAAGTGGAAGGTTTGCAATAGGCCAGGCTGGCCTCGCACGACAGGACCCTGTGTTCCTTTGCATGCCGTGGAATGGTTACAGCCCAGTGGCCTCTCTTTCCATCTCGACTTGGCAACCATGAGAACCTGGTGCACGCAGCCTGGCAAGCCTCACAGAGCTGCTGCCATGAGCCATAGGTGGCATGCCAGTGAGTGAGGGAGTGCCTTACAACCTCCTGCTTACCGCCTGGCCTCAGCAACACCATCGGGGAGCTGACGGCACGGCAAGTTCCTCACCCTGAGAGTACCCCTCAACCGGCCTCTCGTGGTCCCCTTGGGGCGGTCAGGGGGAGCAGACCAGGAAGCATGTGAAGGGTTTCCAAAGGAACCCCAGCAGACCAGATGTACTTTTGCCATTTTTCTGAGCCTAACTGGTCACTTTGATCACCACCATGGCTCTGACCAACTTTTGGCAGTTTCCCACCCCCAAATCAAAATCGCCCTCAAAAAGCAAGATTTGCCATCTCTGCAAATGTTCTGAAGAATATTCTCCAACCGTGAAGGCCTTCACTAAAAGGACATCCAGTAACATTTCCAGAAACGTCATATTAGAGGTAACAGCAACTTCACGCTCAGGTATTCCGAGAGAATCACGATAAACCGGAATCTTTTCTTTTAGAATTGGTCAAAAAGTTACTTTATCATCATTTCATACGCACAGGAGTAGGCATGTGTGAACACAGACACTCACACGCATGCATGCACACACATACGCACACCATATGATGTTTGTACAAAACCACGATCAAGATATTTCTCCAACAAAAATGACACTGTGCTCGGGAGCTCCCTCCCGTTCGGTAATAAGAACTTGTGCTAATTTCTCAGCCAAACGAAGGCACACGTTCCTTCCGAATCCACCTTCTCCTTACACGTTCTGAGGGCACCAGGGCACCTCACAGACCTCCTGCATGGAAGAGAGGCTCGAGTCTCCCTACCATCTGTTAGAGCTGAATGCCAATAACTGGTTGAAAAAATACCTTTCACAACCAAATTTAGTTATGGAATCTAGACTCGCTTGTAACAATTTTTTCATCTATAAACAATCCACTAAAATTGGTTTCTAACTCCATCATTCGCTGACACCGCTCTTTATCAGGTGGCTAGTGGTCAGTTGTTAACCCAGTAGATGATGAGCGGACCTGGCATCTCTTTGGTGTGATGCTGGGCTCTGTCAGCCACTTCTTTCCTTTTCAATTTGCAACTTCCCCGTCTCTTGTCTTCTTACCTCTCTGCTTCTCCGACTTGGTCAATCTCTTTTCTAACTTTTTCCTCGGCCGACCTTTTTCAATCCTGGCCTGTTCTGTCCTGGGCCTGCTTCCCCAATCTCCGGGCACGCTTTCTCAGGAGGTCATTTCCACCATCACCACCTGCCACGGTCTCCCACATCTTTGTCTCCAGCATACAATTCTCTTCAGATCCACATGCCAATCCCTTCACTTCACTCCAGGACTTTTCTAGAAGCAAGTCCAATCATTATTTCTATTGACCTTCCCCAGACCTCTTTCTGTCTCTATCGGCCTGTTTTCAGCCAGTGGCACTATTATTCACTCAACTATTTAAACCAGAAACCTGGAAATCATTCTCAGTATCCACTTTCTGGTTGTGTGACCTTGGCTAAGTAACTTAACTTCTCTCCAGGTCAGTTACCTCATCCGTAAAATGGATGTAAGGGTTATTGAGTGAGATAATGGAATAAGCACATGTAAACTGCTTAGTCTGGTGTTTGGCACAGAGGGGGAACCACCTCCTCCCCCCTCACCGCCTCAACTGCAGTCAGCTGTGATTATTATTTCCCTGTGCAGACTGGGCAGGAGGATCCTCTGCCAGCCTCCCCTCCTCACCTGGAGTGTCAGCAGGTACAGAAGGCTGGGGTGGCAGCAGCAGGCTGAGATCTATAGGTAGGTAACCCAAAATCTACAGATGGAGCTGGATCTGGTAGGTGGGGACCCTGAGTGGTGAATGAGGTCCCCTTCAGATTAGATTCACAGGACCTGAGATCTGCTCTCCCTACCCACACTTGGGGTAGTCACATTCTGCTTCCAACATGCCTGGCCGAGTAAGGAGTGTCACTGTGCAATTTGTCCTCAGAACCTCACTCCTCTGTGTCCATGTCACCCTTTCCAGGCAGAGGTTTCCCCTTTCTCCTACCAAATCCACTCTAAGGTGATTTACTTCAGTCGAGTATATCTTAATATGAATCTTATTAAATGTAAATTTGATATAAATTTAAGGTATCCTGTTGTGATCGAAAAAACAAACAAACATGGGTTTGGGGGTTGGCCAAACTGGCTGAGACTTTTACTAGCTGTGTGGCTAACATCTTCTTTACAGGGTTATGTGTGTTAAATGATCTAATACACAGTATATAACACGTCATATACCTTTGAAATGGGAGGTTCCTTCTGTTCTCACATCCATAGTAAACCAAATAGTCCTACAGTAATAGGAAGCCTGGGTTTCCCTTTCTGATGGCCAAATGAGCTGCTTGACCTCTATAGTTTTCCATGTACTTGTCTACAGAACAAGCATAATACTTCTTGTCTTATAGCTTACTTCCTAGGATTCTGGAAGAATTAATATATTCTGTGCACTGTACCCGGCTACTATGGCAACAAAAGCCCTGTGGACCACATCTAGCCCTGACACATTAGAACGAGAAAGACCAAACTCAGCAGAGACGCGGGGGAGCACACGCGCATGGCTGTTGCCCGTGGCTTCACAATTTGGCTCAGCCTTTCAGAAGAGAAAACTTGCAGCGTGTCACCACAGATATTCAAATGTTCATCCCTTTGGACTTATTGATTCCACTTTGGGAAATACAACCGAAGGAAATGACATCTGCTCCTTCCCCCATGCTCCAAAAAAAGACACTTACAAAATTTTTCAAAACAAATAAATGAAACAACTTATGGAACTTTAAAGGGGCTGGGGCCCCTGAACACAAAAGAATGAGAAACAAATGACAGGTGGGCGCACTATGTGGATGTATGTCACAAGTGTGCAAGTGTGTTCAGTCTTATCTGGAATATAGGAATAACGATTATCATCCTATCCCATGAGGATGTGTCAGGAGTTAATGAGCCCATGTGTGAAAGTACCCAGAACAGTGCCTGGTGCATGGAAAATGTTTCTCATGATGATGATGATGATGACGATGATGATGATGTTGCCCAAAGTGCAAAGGAATAAAAGGAGAATACAAATGGCATGTACATATTGATCAGAACAATGATATCGGGTACTAATCATTTCTGGACTAGAATCTAGAATGGAAGCTTTTAGTGTTCAGTAGGTTCTTTCTGTTCCCTCCAAGTGTATTCAGAATAATTGACACATACCATTTTATAACTTTAAGGTGAACAACATGTTGATTTGATATGCTTATATACTGCCATATGCTTACCACTGTAGTGTTAGCTAACACAATCATGTCACATAATTACCATTTCTTTTTCGTGGTGAGAACACTTAAGAGGTACTTTCTTGGCCACTTTCAAGTATACAGTACAGGATTATTATCTATCATCACAATGCTATGCATTAGATCCTCAGAACTTACTCATCTTCTAACTGGAAGTTTGTACTTTTTGACCAACATCCCATTTCCCCCACCCCTAGCCCCTGGTCACCACCATTCCACTCTCTTTCTATGAGTTCAATAGGCTCCTTCTTTTCTTATGTTCTTAATAGATAAGAAAATAAATGAATGAATAAATAAATATCTACAAAAGAAACTGACGCTTGCATGTGAAGCTTAGCAATTTCCGTGAAATGACCTCTGCCTGCAGCCAAGGTCACTGATTGATTTCTAAGTAAACCAACAAACCCCACAAGGATGGGAGTGTGGGAAGACCAGCATGCTGGCTTTAAGCTCGACTGCCTTTACTTAGCTAGTCCGGCAGCAGGACTAAGAGGCCTCTGCTGAAGTTCCAAATTCTGTCCATTCTACCGCGCAGCACGACACTGCGGCTTCCCAAAATTAGGGGTTCGCCCAACTTGCCACATGCTTCCTGTGTAATTCAGGAGCCGAACATCTCCCTGGTACTGATTTCTATTTATAACCCAGTGGGAAGGAAGACCTCAAATTCTTGAGAGAGGCCTGCTGTGAGCCTGCCGAATAAGATGTGCATCAAAATATACCTGGACACCAGTCAGCTCCACTAGTACCATAAACGAGGCCTCCTTTGGAGGAATGCTGGCATTTAACAAGCAAGCCCTGGTCTAAGGCTACTTTCTCTCATCTTGACCACTGGTGGTTCTTTATCAGCTCTCATCCCTTCTCACACTTCCCAGACTACAGCTGGGCCGAGGTCCTTCTCCAGTGTAGAACCTTCCAATGGCTTCACTTTGCACTCAGAATATTATCTAAATTCCTTACCATGCATTTGCACCTGCTTTTCCCTCATCCCGGACAGCTTTTTCCCTCCCCCTTCACTTATCTAAGTCCTATTTAACTTTCAGGCCTCCGTTTGTGTCATTTTCTCAAAGAAATGCCTTGGTTTAGGCTAGATCTGTTGGTTAAACATTCATCCTGCACTTTTTCGTAATACACGACAATAATAATTATCTGTTCCATATTCATTTTCTCTACAGGATTAGGAATTCTAGGCAGGTGGCCGTGTCTGAATCACACCCACTGTCCTTGCCAAGTACCAGGCACCTGTTTATTTGTTGGATGTCTGGCCATATAAATGAGTGAATGAATGAATAGCGAATAAATGAATAAAGGTTGAAGGGAGCAGGGAAGGTGCCATGGTACAGGGCGTTATCCGGGCAGGCCCTGAAATCACTCCAAATAGGTGACTTGGGGAAAGGTTAAGTACTTCTGGGACAACCAGAGCTCATCAAAGGCAGCCCGCATATCTCCTGGGGCTCTGAAGAACGCTTACCTGCACTTTCTGTGTGGTTCTTACTGGTCGTAGACTTCATCATTTTCTCGCTGAATAAAAGAAAAAGAGATTCAGCTACACAGTTTCCAAAAATGCCTTTCCCCCCGTTCCATTCATTATTCTAAGCAATCAGCAGTGGGTAGTGATGGTATCAAGCAATGAGGGTATTTTAGCATCAGCACCACTATTGGCCGGAATGGAAAAGGCTTTCCAGGTGTGCATCTGACGCTGCCGGTGGGATGCAGCTGGTGGGCACTCATGACTTTCAGATGATGGTGGATGTAGAGACGTGTGGATGGCGGTTGCAGGCACTGCGCAGTGGTCCATGAAGCCACATGCACTGGGAAGCCCATTTACCCTTCTTGGGCCGAAGTGTTACCTTCGACCAAGAATTACCAGAAGAAACAAACAAACAAACAAAACAAACCATGATTCAGAGAGATGTGAATATTTTCAGCCTTGAAATGATTACAAGAAAACGGATTTGAATGAATGAATTATCTTAATGATTAAAGAGAAACAGATTGAATTATTTTTAATTCATTTGCTTTCTTCTTTTTACCTAGATGCATCTTTGCTATTACTTGTAAAGGGCCCTTTAAAAAGCGCAGACTGAACAAGGCCAGTTAAATTGGCAATCTGTTTCTCCATGGCTTGCATCCTCTCTCTGTAAAACAAGAGAATTGTTTGTTAAAGCTTTATTGACTTTCAGACTGGTTTGTCTAGGTGAATGATCACCTGAAGGTTATAAAAGGTACCACCTAGGAGGCCATCAAAGTGCACCTTAACCTGGCTCTGGGAATGGGAAGACTGCAACTAA